TGCATGTCACTCAGGGTCACTGCCTGCCTTCCAGCACTGCCCCCACGGACCATTAAACCTCAGACCAGTGGACTATCATGATGTGTGTCAAGATCTGAGACCAGTTGGATACCATACCAGTGGGTGAAAAAGATCATTGCCCACAGTGCCATTTAAAGTGAGGTCTCCTAAGCATGTGCGGGTGGCTCAGTCAGTCGAACATCCAACTTCAGCTAAGGTCACAATCTCATGGATTGTGAATTTGAGCCCTGCATGAGGCTCTGGGCTGTCAGCCTGTCAGCACAGAGCCTACTTTGGATCCTCTGTCCCCCTCTCTCTGCCCCTCCCTCACTTGCTTTGTCCAAAAAATAAATATAGTAGGGCCTTCTTGGGTCACCTGGGTGGCTCAGTCGGTTAAGCATCTGACTTTGACTCAGGTCATGGTCTCATGGTTCATGAGTCCAAGCCCCGCATCAGGCTCATTGCTGTCAGCTCAGAGCCTGTGGATCCTCTGTCCCCCTCTCTCTGCCCCTCCCCTGCTCATGTTGTCTATGTCTCTCTCTCAAACAAATATCAAAAAAATAAAGCTAGGTCTTCCTTAATGCTCTGGAAGAATGAGATGTCAAACATCCTTTTAGGTTTGAGAGCAGAAAGAGCGTCTCAAATGGAAAGTCCATCCCTTCAATTCGCTCCCTCATGTGACAATTTATTTCAAGTGCTGTTGTGGGTCAGGTTCCCCAGGTCAGGTATCGAGATGGAGATTTGTGTGGACAGGTTTATGGGAGACGCTCTTGGGGAGGGCCCTTGTGAAGGAAGCAAGATCAAACAAAGCGAGATACTGGAGTGAAACACAGTGACGACCAAGGCCCCTCCTAATCCAGATCCTGCAGAGAGCTATGGAGCTAGAATGTTTCCCTCCACAGTTGCTCCATCTTGGGACAGAGAGGACAGAACACTAAGTCCCTCCCTAAGTGCCCCATGGAAGAGGGAGGACGTTGGGTGAGATGGGTCTCTCCCACTGAAAGCAATTCCCAGAGAGGGACCCAGTGGGCATGTCCCATCCCTTCAGCCACTGGGCGATCAAGGGAGAATTGGGGTGGCCCAAGTGCCAACCGAAGACCAGCATTTAAGTTAATTAACTTGAACTTTGCTTTCTGAACTAGATCACGAAAAGCAAATATAGGAATATACCAGGTTCTCTTTGTTTACTCCATTGAATCAGTTAGAAGGTGACTCTAATTTTTAAAAACTATACCATGATAGGGGTGCCTGGGTGGCTCAGTCAGTTAAGCATTCAACTCCTGATTTTGACACCATCACGATGTCGCAGGTTGTGACTTTGAGCCCCAAACTGGGCTCTGTGCTGGCAGCACGGAGCCTGCTTGGGATTCTCTGTCTCCCTCTCTCTCTGCCCCTCCCCTGTTCACTTGCTCACTCTCTCTCTCAAGATAAATACACTTTAAAATAATTTAAAAATAAAAACAAAAAGTCTCTGCTATGGTGAACAACCCTGAAATCCAGCTACAGGTGAACAGGTAAACAAACCGTGGTACAGTTATATGAGCCACCTCTCAGCACTAGAATGAATGAACCCTCAGCGCACGCTATGTTACAGGTGAACCCCAAAGTATGCTGAGGGAAAGCAGTAAGATAAAAGAAAGTGCACACTGTATGATTTCACTTATGTAAACCTCTAGAAAATTAAAACTAATTGATAGAGACAGAAAGCAGGTGGGAGGTGGCTTCAAGGAGGTGGGGAGGGACAGGGGAGCAGGTTACACAACACCTAGGAGGAAACCTATAGGGGTGACGGGGATGGTCACTCTCTTGACTGTGATGGAGTTTTCACAGGCGTATGTGGCATATGTGACAATTTATCAAGTTGTACGCTTCAAAGACATACCATTTGTTATGTCAACAAACACCGTTATACACCTTAATACAGCTATTTTTTTATTTTTATATTTTGAGAGAGAGAGGGCACGAGCCAGGGAGGGGTGCCCCTCCCCCACTGGTTCTTTATTTTTTTCTCTCTCTCTCTTTCTCAAAATAAATAAACTTTAAAAAAGAAGGTATCTTCAAAAACATTATAAAAAAAACTAAAAAGACTACAACTATGAAAATGTATTATATGCCTGAAATACGGCAAGAATTTTCTATGAGTATATTTTGGGTCAGGGTAGAAAGGGGGGTTGAAAAGTAGATGGGGGCCGAGTGTGAATGGCCTTCAATGATTAGCTGAAGAGTTTGGACTACCATCTTCAGGCAAAAGGAAACCACTGGAAGCTTTTAAGTGGAAGAGTGTTTTAGAAAGAGAATGGGAGAAAAACAGAAAATCTACCTGTCTTCAGTTAAATGAACACCTGTTACATTTTATGTAAACCCATTCACAGGTATTGTACTAAAATCACATTAAATCAACAGACCTGAGCTGGGCTACACTGTAATTGTAGTTTCAATCTCAGGATATTTTATTCTTTGGTCACCTGACTCATTCAGTTCATTCATTCCATTTTCACCTATGTTTCCATACATTTTTATGCAACAGAGAAAATTACAGAAAACCACCACTGGGAAAGAGAGAAGCAAAGTGACCCTTCTCCAGGACCCTACCTGAATTTAATTCAGAGGTGGACCATGATTTTTTTCCACTGGCTTAAAATGAAACATCCCATGATGACATTTTTGCTTCTGTTTCCTGTAAAGGTGGTATTTGCCCTCCTCATACATTCATGTTAGAGGGTATGTTCATGATCTGGAAAATCAGTATCTAGGTCCAGATGCTGACTCCTTGATGGCCCATGTGACAACACCAGACGTAAACTTTTTCCCTCTGTTCTTTGACAGGAACTGTTAGAAAATCCTGTAAGGAATAGCACTCTTCTAGATGAAAACGTGAGAAATTATCAACTGACCATAGGCAATTCACACCTCCCAATGGGAGGCCCAAAGAGATGCCTTACACACATGTTCCTTAATGGGGTAGGAGACAAGGTACAAAACTAAGGCCTCACCCTAAAGCAAGGACATTGCAGCAACAGGAAAATTGGATGCTTAGACACCACAGAGCCTTAAATACAAAAACTAGAAGTATCTGGAGAGAATGTCAAGAAGAAAAAAAATCAGACAAAAGACTTAAGTCTTGGTTTGTCTTCTCAGCTCTGCCACTGATGGTCACTTCTAGCAAACTCCTTAATTCTCCATTTTAAAAAATGGTATAATAAGAGGCACCCAGGTGACTCAGTCTGTTGAGCGTTCCACTCTTGATTTCAGCTCAGGTCCTGATCCCACAGTTGTGGGATTGAGCCCTGCATTGGGTTCTGCACTGAGCCTACCAAAGATGCTCTCTCTCTCTCTCTCCGCCCCCGCCCCCCCCCCCCCCCGGCTCTTCTCCACCTCTCATACTCTCTATAAAATTTTTTTAAATAATAAAATAAAAAATGGTACAATGCAACCTATCCATTCCCTGCTTCCGTAAGCTAGTCAACATGTGTCAATATAACCAACAAGCAATTTATGGAGACTCTTCTATGAACCTAGACCGTGACTGGTAGCAGAGTGAGGGCTAGCTCCCCTATGTCTTGATTTCTGTTCCAGAACACTGTTGCTCAAGCTTGACTTACAATACCCTGGAGAGCTTGTTAAACACACAGGCAGGTCCTTATTCAAGTAAGATTCTGATTGAATCGGTCCGGGGCTGACCCTAGCAAACTGCCTTTTTTGGCTAGAGGCCCGAGGCATTTATATCATCATAAAATTTGAGAAACATTCCATCATATCACATTATGTCCTACAGGAAAATTCTATTTTTTCTCCTCTTTTCAATCTGTTTCTACCCATTAAAATAGGTAAAATATTTGAAAAACATTTTTGATGGATAGAATTTTCCCTACCCAAAGTATCAACACATTTACAGAATAACAATACTTATGTTTGTTTGTTTTTAAATTTTATGATTTTTTAAAAGTAATCTCTACCCCAAAATGGGGCTTGAACTCACGACCCCAAGATCAAGAGTCATATGTTCTGTCAACTGAACCAGCCGGGTACCCTATCAACACTTATTTTAATTAGAACCAGTAAATATATTTTCCTTTATAATCTGCCAAACAATGAGGGCTATTTTCATTTTTTTTTAATTTTATTTATTTTAGACAGAGAGCAAGAGTGGAAGGGGGGGAGAGAGAGAGAAAGAATGAGAATCTCAAGCAGGCTCCACGCTCAGCACAGAGCTCAACCCCACAACCCTGGGATCATGACCTGAGCTGAAATCAAGGGTCAGACACTCAACTGACTAAACCACCCAGGTTCCCCTGACTAGGCTATTTTCTGTCCATAAGTTCGTTAGTATTTTGCTGTGTGTCCTGGAAAAAAATTACATAATGTATCTCAATTTGCCCAATTAATGACAGTTAAATGCCAAAATAGTTCATTTGCCTATTGTCACCCCCTACTAGATCATATTCTCCTTAAAAACAAGGAATTTATCTTTTATATGTGATATCTTAGAATACATACTAGATGGCTGGACAGATATAGAGATGGATGGATGGATGGATGGAGGGATGGATGATTTTTTTAAATGATCAAATAATGTGACCGAATTCTGCCCCTGAAAATCATTATACATTGTTGTCAGAATTAGAAATAAAATATTCACAAAGGTTCAGCAAAAACTGTCTAATTATCACTGTCAATACACTAGAAAAGTAAAAATAGGATTACATCACTACACAGGGAAATTTTCATCTCTCTCCCACCCCTCCTCCCCCAAAAAGCCTCACAACAAGTTGATTTACCAGTACTTCCCACGTGTGGCAGAGTGATCTGTGCCACCAACACATCACTCACACCTCTCCACGATCACGATGACACATGTGGTACCCTAAATGTTCCACCTGGAGGTATTTTGGCGGTGGCAAACTAAGAGGGGACTTCAAGAGCCAATGAGTCGACACATGAGGTCACAAAGCTACTGCCTCTCCCCTTCAAAAGAAACCACTCTGCTCCATTTATTTCAGAATCTAGAGGAAGTTGACAAAGTGTGACAATAGCACGGTGCAGTATGTGGTGGAGACTTTTCAGCTTGCTGGCTTGCTTCCCCTTACAAGGTAAGCACTCAGAGCTCATTTCTTATGCTACTCTTGACTTGATATGTTACCAAATCTGCCTATCAGTAAACTGCGTTTGCAGTGAACCTACTACAGAAGGCAACCCAGGTAAAAATGTTAATGCTTTCTAAGCTACACCAAAATCACACGGGAAGGATTGTTACTGCTTTATTTAACCTCTTGTTAAAGTGCTAAAGGGTATGGAAAGGCTCTCTGTAGTGTGCCCTCTCTGTGGGATCTATGTTATGGCAAAATGTAACGAGCTTCTTGGGCTCTGTGTTTTAAGGGTCTACTTGCTGAAAGGGCGTCAATTTTGGATTTTAAAAACTTCCTCATTGAGGTGCCCAGGTGGCTCAGTCAGTTAAGCATCTGACTTTGGCTCAGGTCATGATCTCATGGTTCGTGGGTTCAAGCCCCCCACCAGGTTCTGTGCTGGCAGCTCAGAGCCTGGAGCCTGTTTCAGATTCTGTCTCCCTCTCTCTATGCCCCTCCCCTGCTCATGCTCTGTCTCTCTCTGTCTCAAAAATAAAATAAACTATAAAAACAAAAATAAAAAACTTCCTCACTGAATAAGCCTTAACCAGATAACTTCTCTAAAACTTAATTTCTGTATCTTGAAAAGAAGAATGATTTAAAATGTTGGGCCACCAAACTCCTTGGATTAAAAACATTTTTTTCATGTTTGTTTATTTTTATGAGAGAGAGAGAGAGACAGAGCATGAGAGGGGGAGGGGCAGAGAGAGGGAGACACAGAATCCGAAGCAGGCTCCAGGCTCTGAGCTGTCAGCAAAGAGCCCAATGCAGGGCTCGAATACACGGACCATGAGATCATGACCTGAGCCGAAGTCGGATGCCCAACCAACCGGCCAACCAAGCAACCACCCAGGTGCCCCTACAAGGATCAAATTTAAAATATGATAGCACTTTGAAAATGGCAAAGTGCTTATACAACTCTTAATTAGTTCAGAGATAATAATAAGCCCCATGAAAAGTTCCTGCTTATTTTTGGAGTCAGTTATACTTTACATTTTAATATTTTTTAGGTTTTTATTTTATTTTTGAGAGAGGGAGATAGAGCGTGAGTAGGGGGAGGGGCAGAGAGTGAGGGAGACACAGAATCTGAAGCAGGCTCCAGGCTCTGAGCTATCAGCACAGAGCCCGACGTGGGCCTCGAACTCACAGATGGTGAGATCATGACCTGAGCCGAAGTGGGATGCTTAACCAACTGAGCCACCCAGGCTCTCCTATTATACTTTACATTTTATTATAATTTTCAAGTTTGGTTTTTGATGCTTACTTAATTCTAATGTAGCAATATGAAAATTAAAGATTTTTTTTAACAAAAGTCAAATTATTCCTGCTCAAACGGGAGGCAGGGTATAGGTGTCTTTAAATCTCTGATTGCAAGCTGTAGCAAATTCTTGCAAAGGAAGTTATACATAAGTGTATTGCTTGCTTTGTGTGTTTTTGTTTCCAAATATTGAACTATAGTTATATTTCAGGTAAGGCACCTGTCCTTCTAAATCTGCCTTCACCATACAACTGCACCTGAATGACATTATTTAAAAACAAAAACCTAGATTTCCTATTTTACATAGTTCTTCCATTTCCTATTTTATACAATTAAATGAAGTGCTTTCTTTTTTGGTCCCTCTACCCTGAGGCACATAATATGAATTCAATATTGGTAATAATATTAGTTTCTTCAATAAGTGGCTTAAAGAATAGCTCATATATTCTAGAGAAGTACATTTAGACAGCTAAAATTAGAATGCTTTCAATTATTCCAAAGTTTGAAGCCTTTAACTGACCTTAACTTCTGAGGATTCAAGTTATTGCCTCATAAAAATGCCTTACAAAAAAGTTTTTAAATAAAAGCAGCTATAATCATGTCTTAAAATACACCTAAGACGTTTTTAGAATGTAAATTATTCAAATACTATTTATAAAGACAGGAGAAAAACATATTTGTTGTGCCATGCACAGTGTTGGGTACTTTTATTAATTACATTTAATCCTAACAAAGCTACTGAGGTATTAATATCCCTGGGGCACCTGGGTGGCTCAGTCGGTCGAGCCTCTGACTTCGGCTCAGGTCATCATCTCGCTGTTCATAAGTTCGAGCCCCACATCAGGCTCACTGCTGTCAGCCTGTCAGCATAGAGCCCACTTCAGATCCTCTGTTCCCCTCTACCTGCCCCTCCCCCACTTGCGCTCTCCCAAAAATAAATATTTAATATCCCTAATTTACATGAGAATATAGTTTACAAGAAGTTAGATAACCTGCCCAAGTTTTCCCAGCTGGGGAATCAGCTTACACAGCACATAAGTATTATCTCATGAAACATTGTGTGTGTGTGTGTGTGTGCGTGCGTGTGTGTGTGTGCATCTTTCTAGCAGGTTGTGATAGTAAGTGTTTCTTAATGTAGATCAAAAGTTTAAGGGGCGCCTGGGTGGCTCAGTCGGTTAAGTGACTGACTTCGACTCAGGTCATGATCTCACGGTTTGTGAGTTCAAGCCCCACGTTGGGTTCTGTGCAGACAGCTTGGAGCCTGGAGCCTGCTTCAGATTCTGTGTCTCTATCTCTCCCCTGCTCATTCTCTGTCTCTGTCTCTTTCTCTGTCTCTCTCTCTCTCTCAAAAAAAAAAAAAAAAGTTTGATAGCCACTGATTTATATGGTTTGGAAGATTTGTTACTGAAAAATCCCAATCCGAAAACTCACCTAAAGGGCCACCCAGAAGGCATCTAGGCTCAATGGTATCAAGCACAAATTGTCCCCTCTGACCTAACCCTGCTCAGGTCCATCAGAATCCCAAATAGGAAAGGTACTGATCGTGCTGCTTCCTGTTAGCAAAAAAGGCAGCAAATCATCAATTCTGACAACACTATACACTGGCAGCTGTTTTTAGCTATGAATTATGGGAAGATCACTGTACCTTCTTCTACCATTGCAACTTCTAACTAAGGCTGCCAAGAATTACAGACAAGAAAAGTCCCATAATCTTGGAGCCTCCCTCTTTTTAAGGTTACTACTCACATAAATAATGTGATGTGTAAAATGCAATAAGAATGAAGAATTTTTTCAAAATTCATCCCATTCACCTGTATTGTGGATGATGAAAATCCACCAATTTGAACCCTCTATCCTGGTCGTTAGTGGAGGGTAGGATACAGAGAATAAAGAACAGTTGCCAATTTAAGGTTCTGTTGATATTCCTGTTGATAATTCCCATGTTTGTTGACACTTTGAGATGCCTTCTTGAAAGCCATACTGGAAATAATTTAATTTGGGCCAAGCCAGATTCATTTTCGCCCTCGTAACTTTCTCTGTTGATTCTATCTAAATAATAATAAACATGTTTTATAACGATCTAAATTGAAGCACTTTTTTGTCTACTACCTCATAATAGTCATGTAAATAGGGCTCTGATTTGACACAATTCATTCTGTGTCTCTGGTGTTAACTCAAGCTTTTCTATGCAACATAACAATAACAGAGCTAAGTTTCTACCCTATTACATGTTACTAATGAATATATAAACTTCTTCATTTTTTAGCCATTAATTTATCTAATAGTTAAAATCTTACTTCGTGTGAGGCCCTGGGACTGTAAAATGAATGAATGGCCAACGACCTTTCCATGAGAAGTTTGTAATCTACACACAGAGACATACTTGTAACCAAATAATTATAAAGTAATGTGCTGAGCGCTCTAACAGAAGTCCATTTAGAACCTTTGGGGATCTGGAGGAGAGGGAGGGCCATTGTGAAGGAGGAGGAAGCTAAAGACTGGTTAGGCAGGTTTGGCGAAAGTGGTACACTCTGAGTCTTGGAGGAGTCAAGAAAGGTTTCCAGGTCAACAGAACAGCATGGACAAAGGCCAAATGTCTTTGTGAACCTGAATCTGGCAGAGGCTGGTGGTGACATTAGTTAATACAAGCAAACAATGGAACGGAGCAGGTGGCATATCTGTGTTAGATGTGTCTGGACCACAAGGGGACGCTAGAGATGATTATTTCTGATGGGGCATGATGAGTTTGGCATCCCTATAGTACAGACTTGCTCTGCTTTGGAATTTTAAAATTCACTGCATGCAATAATTGGGCTACTAAGATAAGAAAAAGAAAGAACATTTTATTCATTCTTCAATCAACATGATAACCCCTAGCAGAGGGAAGATCAGACATGGCAACTCCCAAAATATTGAGGCGGGGGCGGAAATCAAGGAATCTTAGGGACTGCACAGGTTTGATCTGTAGATGCTTGGGTAGGTGGCGGTCACTTCTACTTGCCATTTTGCTTGAAGGTCAGCCACATATGCTCTGGTGAGAAGCCATTCCACTGACAGGACAATTAGTTCATGAGGTTGGGGGTGGAGATGATGGTGAAGGTCACGCATTCCACTTCCATATATAAACCAGTCCAGATCTATAAGCCCAGAATCCACCAGCAGCCTCATAACACATGGCCTTACATGGATGGATGGTTCTAGTCAGAAGTCAATAATCCACTCAGTAAATATGACCTACAGTAAGTGGTGACCTCCCTCCCAGGAGAAACCCCACAGCCATTCACAGCCAAGCTTTGCTCGTTCAGCACTGGTGGAGCCATGTAGGGCTAATGTGCACACTGGCACACTGAGGCCCATCTGGGGAGCACGAGGAAATAGACACACAGCACTCAGGATCCTACGTAACAAACGCTAAGGGTGCCCAAGAATATACGTGTTTTCAGAGCCTGCAAGGGAGGAAGTGGTGAACAAAGAAGGTAACCCACACCCCATGCCTCTGACAAAGAAGGTGAAAGTTTGACTCCAAACTTCGATGAAAAAGAAAATGTAAAAGACAGTTTGGTCTGCAACGGCAGTGAGAGAATCCTACGGGACTTTCCCTTAGAAGACATACCATGAAAAGTCAGGTACAGGGGTCTTCCTTTTCCACCCTTTAGCAGGGCCTAGATGCACTGAACAATGTTTTTAAGTACTAGAACTGAAGCAGTGTAGGTCTGTGGCTTCTCACTGGGGCCATTCTTCCTTTCTACAATGATTTCCTGTCTCAAAAAGCAAGCATGGGGTCTACATGATAACACTGCAATAGAAATAAGCCAGTCAAGCTAAAGGCAAGGCTTGGAGCAGTCGCGGAAACAGCAAATATTCTATGTCTCCAACACAGCCCTCTCCATCTGAAACCCCCCAGGCATTTACAGTTGTGGTCAGCTGGCTGATACTAAATTCTCAAAAATGAGAGCAAACTAATCTTAGAGATACAATTCCTTAGCATATGGTAAAAAGCCGTACTATATTTCATTACAATTTTTTAAATTAGTTTATTTATTTTGAAAGTGAGCATGTGTAGGGGATGGGAGCAGAGAGAGAGGAGAAAGAGAATCCCAAGCAGGGATGACAGCATGGAGCTTAACACGGGGCTTGAACCCAGAAACTGTGAAATCATGACCTGAGCCAAAACCAAGAGTCGGACGCTCAACTGACTGAGCCACCCAAGCACCCCTCATTACAATTTTTTACACTGTTAAGAATCAAATAACGCAATTTCATTCAAAAGCATGCATCTCAAGAAAAAGATGTCTTTAAAATGGAAGACATTTATTCATAAACAGGCTGCCGATAAATATCACCACTTCTATTTCCCCAAATGCAGGCTTCCCGTCTAGACAATCACTTTGCCAAAAGGTAGGAACTTGGCCAAAACTTGGCCTGAAGGATGAAATCAGGGCATGTTGCTTAACGGTGGTCTTTTATTCTATCATTGACTCAACATAGTACCTTCCCTCCTGTCTCTCAGTATTCTTATTAACCACAGGAGACCAAAGATATCTGCCCATCGCCTACATTATGGTGCTATCATAAAAACTGGCATTGAACCATTCCTTTTCAAGCTCACACTGTGATAGTTTCTGTAAGGAATGAGTTTTAGAGAAATATGACATAGTCACTGCCCTCTAGAAACTTCAATCTGCAGGAAGCAGGATGACACACAAGAACTAGAAAGTAAAGCAAGAATCATAATGGAATGATTATGGAAGCAAGAGGAGGTAGATGGTTCCAGGTTCAATTTCTTGGCTCAGAAGTTGCTTAACCTTACAAGACATTCCATTGTCATTTCAAAGTGTCTCTACTAATATTCTCCTTATTACTCAACTACAGGTTGATTTTATAGATAAAAATATTTCCAAATAACCCAACCTCAACAGAATTCAGGGCTTACACTTCAACGCTCTTACGAAAACACAGTATCCTGTATTGATTCTTCATTGTTCATTAGAGTATTGGCTGCTGATATGTGTATTTTTTCCAGAAGAGCTCAAGCAAACTTTTTTCCCATGGAAGTCAATACAAATACAACACAACATTCTGGGTTATTATTGCCAGAGGCTAGATGGAAATTAATGACCTAGAAATGGAACAAACTAAAAAGTCTGCACCAATTAATTCCCAGGGCTCTCCAAAGCACTTTCCCTAATACTTGACATTTATCACAAGGAAACAATCTCCTTTTTCTTTCTTTTTTTTTTTTTTTAAGGTTTAAGATGTTGCAGTAAAACTCATTACATTTGCTATTCATAATTTATAACCCCACGGTATTCTTCTGTTTATGGAAGGGCTTTGTACTTTCATTGATAAGAATTGTCCTCAAAACAAAAGATGTGTTTTTTTAATTTAAAACTTGAAGAACTAATGGATGGCAATAAATATGCCAAATCAGCAGAAATCCAATTTATTATTATTTTTTTATCAATTTCCTTTTTGGGGAGGATACATTTGCAGCTGCTTGCAACCAATTGTTTATCATTCTCTGGGGGTTGTGTTTCGGGAAATGAGCCTCTCATGTCTGCCTCGACAAAGTGCTGCTGTGGAAAATTAAATTGGAAGAGATCTTAGAACATCCTTCCCCTGGCACAGAAGCCCTTCTGCAGATGGGGCTTAACCGCACCCCGTGAAGGGCAGCTCCCTAATTCACAAGAGTGTCGCTTAGAATCCCAGACACACACATTGTACTTCAAGTCACAAGGAGCTTCCTGCATAAACTGAGGCCAGAGAGGCTGAGTTTCCCAGTCTCCTCACTGAGATAGTCTGACCTAGTTACATGACCGTGGACTTGGAAGCCCACAGACATGGGTACAGATCCCAGCTCCAGGACCTGTGTAGCCATCAGCCTCTATTTCCTTATCTGGGCAGCCAGCAAAATAATTCTTTCTTTATAGGACTATTTTGAAAGTTAAATTAAATATAGGTTTTACATGGCCTGGCTGAGTTTCTGGGCTCTGCGAGAACAGGTGCCTGATAGATGTTGTTTAACATTTTCTTTTTTTTCCTATCATAAATCACACCGCTTCATTCAGACCTCCTTTAGGAGACATCCTACTGTTTCTACATACAGTACAAGCTCCTTTGTACTGACTTACATTTTGTTTCTATAAGAAATATGTAATGAGAGGCGCCTGGGTGGCTCAGTCGGTTGGGCATCCGACTCTTGGTTTTGGCTGAGGTCATGATCTCACAGTTTGTGAGATCGAGCCTCACATCAGGTTCTGTACTGACAGTGTGGAGCCTTCTTGGGGTTCTCTCTCCCTCTCTCTCTCTCTGCCCTGACTCCACTTGCTCTTTCTCTCTCTCAAAATGAATAAATAAATTTTTAAAAATTTAAAAATGTTTATTAAAAAAAAGAAAGAATGGTGCAATGAATGATAGAATGAATGGATGAGGTTGAGATTAAGTCCCTGCCTCAGCTTGGGAGTGTCTTGGCCCATGTCAGCCTGACGGTCTCCAATTCTCTTCCTCTGCAGAAGCCTTTCTGACCAACCACACAGAAACAGTCACCGTGGAGGAAGGCCAGACCCTCACTCTCAAGTGTGTCATTTCTCAGGGGAAGACCACATCCCTGCAATGGCTGGCCCCATCAGGGTTCACCATTTTTTTCAACGAGCATCCTGGTAAGTGAAAGAAAAAACAAGAATCGCCACCAGACCTCAACCTGAGGGATTTTCCAGACAGACAGGCTGGTGGGATAGAAACCAGCCTGAGTCACCCAAACGGTGGGCTTGGCCCATGGACTATCACACGGGGATCCACACCCAGAAGCCCACGGCTTCTTTTCTTGACAGGAAGTCTGAAATGGAAACCCCACCAGCATGACTGATAAAGGGGGCTCAAGTCACAAAGCACATTTCCATGCCCGCACCTCACCCCCACATTGCTTTTTCATTCTCAGCAGCACCAATGACAGGCAGTCAGGAGACTGACACGAGGCCCTGTGTCCTCCAGCGGCTGGCACCATGGCCCCACATCTGGAGTCAGCTGCTTCGTTTTTCCGCCTGTGAGCAACGCAAAGTCACATCAGAAAACGCCCTTCCAAATATCTCCTCTTCCGTTAGCCTTAGCACAAACGCAAGATGGCTGAGCAACTTACAGGACATGCTTCTTTGGAAAGGACAGTAATTCCTCTTTTTCACAAGCACACATTGAGCCCAGATGCCTGAGATGGAAGGGGATTCTCACCCACCCCGCCCCAGTTTTATTGAGATATAATGGACATGTCACATCACATTAGTTTAATGTGTACAATGATCTAGTGTTATGTGGATATTTCAGAGTAATCGCCACAGTAGGTCTAGTTAACATCCATCACCTCACATAGTCACAATGGTTTTCTTTCTTAAGGAAAGGGATTTTTTTTGTTGTTGTTTATTTATTCATTTTGAGTGAGAGAAAGCAAGAGTACCAGCAAGCAGGGGAGGAGCAGAGAGAGAGGGAGAGAGAGAGAATCCCAAGCAGGCTCTGCACTGTCAGCGCAAAGCCCAACACAGGGCTCAAACTCACGAACCATGAGATTATAACCTGAGCTGAAATCAAGAGTCAGATGCTTCACAAACTGAGCCACTCGGGTACCCCAAGGAAAGGGATTCTTAAACACCTATTTAGTTCATCTTTTGGGGCAGGATTTTACTAAACCCTCCCTTTCAAAATGAGAACATTGTATATCTCCATTTAATATTCTTTTTTTTTAATATTTTTATTTATTTCTAGGAGAGAGAGAGAGACAGCATGAGCAGGGGAGGGTCAGAGAGAGAGGGAGACACAGACTCTGAAACAGGCTCCAGGCTCTGAGCTTGCAGTCAGCACAGAGCCCGACACGGGGCTCGAACCCACGAACCGCGAGATCATGACCTAAGCGATAGTCGGACTCTTAACCGACTAAGCCACCCAGGCGCCCCTCCATTTAATACTCTTAACTGCCAAATACTTGGAAAAGTTTCCAAAACAGTACATTTCATTCTGCCTTGTAGAAGCAGAGCCTCTAAAAAACTTAATATGCTATGAAATATTTTTAAATATTGCTGTGTTTGGGGCATCTGAGTGGCTCAGTTAAGTGTTGGACTTCAGCTCAGGTCATGATCTCACAGTTCATGAGTTCGAGCCCCACGTCGGGCTCTGTGTTGACAGCTCAGAGCCTGAAGCCTGCTTCGGATTCTATGTCTCCCTCTCTGACCCTTCCCTGCTCACACTCACTTGCTCGTTCTCTCTCTCTCTCAAAATTAAACATTAAAAAAATTAAATATTTTTATGTTCAATGTAAAATAACCACATATTTCAAGCTAAATCAACAACCAATACTAGATTCCAATAAAGTAGATATTAGTTGTTAAAAGTTTTGAGAAAAAACTTCAAGTAGAGATAATTCCTGTTAAATCATGCTTTCTCTTGTTTTGGTTTGGTTTTTGGTAAACCGGGAGAAGATGGGCACTCTCAAATTTCTGCAGCAGAGTACCTTGACTGAACTCAGTGATGCTCAACTGAGGGTCATTCTTGCCTTCTAGGGGACATATGGCAATGTCTGGAGACAGTTCAGGTTGTTGTAATTGGGGAAAGGCAGGGGCTTTGGCATCTAGTGAGTAGAATGGCCTGCATTGCTGCTAAACATCATATAATGTACAGGAGGCCCTCACAACAAAGAATTATGGACTCAAAAATCAATAGTGCTGAGGCTGAGAATACAGGGGTTCTATCCCAGGTCGCACCAGTGTCCCAGGACACATGACCATTATTTCAGATGAGAGACAACCTTCCTTGGGCAGCCAGTCAAAGTACAACTATTTTAGGTTTGTTCATGTTACAGATCTACAATAGTGGAGGTGGGGGGAGTAAGGGGAGGAAAAGAGAGGAAGGAAGGAAAGAATGGAAGGAAGGGAAGATAGGGAAGGAAGGAAGGAAGACAAAACCACTCATTTCAGGAGCTTCTGATTTGCTAAAGGACCTATGGTCTGAGACAGACATCCCAGGTCAATATAGAATCAAACAAAACAAAACAAAAATAAAAACAAAAACCACTTGCTAAAATCTTTAGGAAACTTCAAATAATAATAAATTTCTAAAAAATAAAAAGAAAAGGGGGCATCTGGATGGCTCAGTCAGTAGAACATGCAACTCTATATCCCAGGTTATGAGTTCAAGCCCCATGTTGTGTGTAGAGATTACTTAAAAATAAGACCCTTAAAAAAAATAAAAAGCATTCAACTGGAATAATGAACAGCCATGCGTTGATCCTTTGTGACAAGACAGCCTCAATTCAATCAGATTTCAAAGAGGTAAATCTAAGGGCACCTGGGTGCCTCAGTCCGTTAAGCGTCTGACTTTGGCTCAGATCATGATATCATGGTTTGTGAGTTTGAGCCCCCGTGTCGGGCTCTGTGGTGACAGTGTAGAGCCTGGAGCCTGCTTTGAATTCTGTGTCTCCCTCTCTCTCTGCCCCTCCCTTGCCCATGCTCTGTCTCTCTCTGTCTCTCGAAAATGAATAAACGTTTAAAACAAAATTCAAAGAGGTAAATCTAATGGGGCATTTTTCATAATGTAAAAAAAGAGGGGGGTATGTAATCCTCCTACAGCCTGAACACTTCACCAGCTTAGGGTTAATTTCCCACAGGTGCAAATAAAGCCAATGGTTTATATCACAGATCCCGGTATCAAAATATTTTGTTTCCTAAACTAACGTGGAGCTATTGAGAAGCATCCAGCTGGTAACACCAGAATTTGGAAGGCAGCTCAGTCAAAGATGCGACATTTTTCCGTCCATGTGTGAAATTCAAAAGCCATTCCTGTGAAGAATCAATGCACCGAGAGTCTGTATTCATCTGCTAGTTTGCTTCCTAACAGCTCTTTTTCCCTCTTGTCCAGCTTTAAAAAATCCCAAATACCAGCTGCTACATCACTCCGCCCATCAGCTCTCCATCCACGTGCTTAATGTCAGCCAGCAAGATGAAGGCGTGTACAAGTGTTTACGTTACAGCAGCAACGTGAGAACAAAGGAAGTAAAAGTGATCGTGCTAGGTAGGTGGCTGACAGCCAGCAAACCCAGCATGGGAGTGACAGTCGTCCGAACAGGACACATCATTCTTACGCTTAACATCTGAGTTAGAAATAGCACCTATAGCAAGGCATTTCTTAGGGGGCCTCTGCCATCCTTTGTTGGAAGGAAACAGAAAGGAACGTTTTTGACTGGCAAGCCCTAGATTAAAATGTGACTTTGTGAAATGTGTCTTTGGCATCAACTAAGTTTCCTCTCTGGGGAAATTAAAAGGAAGGAGAATTAATATTTGATGAGTCCCAACCATGTGCCAGGCACTATACTAAGCTCCTGGGAATCAAAGAGGGATTAGACAGGATCCGTGCCCACAAGGAGTTGGCACACTAGTTTAGACAGGCAAAACAAGTATGTTCAAAAAAAAAAAAAAAAAAGTAGAACCTTAACTACTGCATAGCCTAAGACGGAATGAATTCAGATGTAACTGCACTGGGCAACTGGCTCACATCCTCTGTCCAAACCAGTTCTTCTCTTCCAGTGGGAGGTGGGTGGGGAGACAAGGATAGGAATTAACAGTGTCGAGACTGCCTGAGACTTGCTCAGTTCTGTGGACGGTCAGCTGGGTTCAGTGGGAGTCTTACTGCTGTTACTTTTCCGATTTTTGTGATGGAACAGATCCATTCTAAACACGGCTTTCTGTTGATCTCTAAGTGGCATAATTCCACATATCACACAAATGAATTTCTTAGGCTTCTTCTGTTGAATGAATAGAACGTGATGCCTGCGTGGTAATGAAGCATCTGGGAAGGAATGGCTCCCTAGGGGTTTTAAGAACCAATGTGACTCAGCCCACCTTACTGGCCACCCCTCCCAGCACTCTGGCTCATGCTGCTTGCTTGTGTGCCCTTCTTGGGTCATAGAACAATCTACACGTACCTCTGTTGCTGCACTTAACACATGATCTTTCAACTAACAGTTTAGGGGCTGAGTCTACCACCAGACTCTTAGCTCCTCAAATAGCTCATTTTCTCCATACTTGTACTGCCAGCATACTTGGAGCTGACTTTACAATGTCTCAATGGCAGATAAACCAGCAAACAAATGTGAAAGAGTAGGGTTCTGGACCAAAGTGTGAAGTAGAATGGGAAAGGGGAGGAAGTTAGCCAAGCTAAAAAGTACACTTGACCCTTGAACCACACAGGTTTGAACTGTGCCCATCTACTTACATGTGAATTTTTGTCAGTAAATACAGTACAGTCCTATAAATGATTTTCTTAATAATGTTGTCTTTTCTCTAGCTTATTTTATTGTAAGAACACAGTATAAAATACATAGACCATACAAAAATGTGCTAATCAATTGTTCAGGCTATCAGTAAGGCTAGGCCGTTAGGTAAGGTTGGGGGGAGTCAAAAGTTATGCAGCAAGTTTTTACTGTGCAGTGGTTGAGGGAGGTGTTAGTGCCCCTCAGGCCCACATTGTTCAAAGGTGAACTCCATTTCCAAGACAGGAATAGGAAGAAAAAGGACAAATTTCTTTATAAAAGAAATGCATCTTTTGCTGTAAGGAGGGGACAGAACTAACTTAGGTTGGCATGAATCATACGCTCATGAAAGTTTAGAACTGAAACAGCCATAAGCCAACATAAACTCCTTCATGTCATGGACAAGGGAACTGATACACCAAGAGGTTGAGAGACATACACTAGTTCTTACAATAGTTGGGGACAGATGAAACTAGAATCCAGGTCTGTACTCCTCACCTAGCGTTCTACTAATTAAATACAGTCATATGTCAAATTCAAAAATTACTGCTGTAACATTGGGGATTTCCAGGGACTAATCCCACATTGGATAACAAACAATCTGACTACAACCAAGACAGCTTTACAAGTACATAAAACCCCTTTAACTGGATTCTAGAAAATGTCAAGGGGGGAAAAAAGCCCATTATTTAGACCATATGCTACAATCATCCCTACAGATGATCAGACTTTGTGCTTTACTACATCCATCATGTAGACCAGCTAATTAAGCATAGAAAAAACAATTTTCTTCCAGCAACTCCTTCCATGCCAATTGTGGAAGCTTCGGTTACCAGAATGCAAAACGGAAAAAAGCATGTTACACTTAAATGTTCCACCGTGAGAAGTAAGCCCCCTCCACAGATAACCTGGATATTAGGGAACGACATAGAGCTTTACGGTAAGTACGGAGATGGTCCTTTCTTCCTTTGTTTTCCTTCCTACTTAAATTTCCAAGGATGTTTTAAATCCTCTGGCACCCTCTGGTGGCATCAGGTGCCTGAAAATACCATTCACTAATGCACCGGTTCTTCTCCAAATTATCTTTATAACCAATTGATATTATGCCTTCATCTTGAAAATCTATCACAAATAATAGGATTATCTCTTATGCTTAAGACACAGTAGAAACCTAAAATGGAGTATTCATTATGGCTTCTTAAAATTCAACAAAATTTAATAAAACAGGTACAATATAGCTATCACCTCAGAATGAATTATTCAGCAGACATAAAATTGAAAATACATTTACCATAATGCTTCTATATTAGAACAGGTTAAGATCCTCCTTATGAAGTGCGGTACCACGTTACACCATCAATGACAGATAAAAATATTATATTGCACCAAAGAATCTAAACTTTGATTAGATGGAAGTAGGGCTCAATTGACTATTAGCAGGATAACTAATTGTCACACTTGGTAACTATTTATAGTTTGTTTCCTTTGTAACACAGGTCACATTAGATTTTACATAATCAGAGAGAGATTCAGTCCAATGCCAATTCTACATCATTCTGAGACATCTCTGTTAACTTGCCTTATTCATTCAACCCAGTAAAGTCTTGGCTCTTTGTGTCTGACAGTATCAGACTACCCTTGTTGTAACCAGATAAGCTTTGAATTTTTTTTCCCACAGTAGTGATGGGTTTATAGAAACCTATCCATTGTTATTCACCTGCTTCCCTCTGGACTAGGGGACTAGGGCCATGCATGTACAAGGGAGTTGGCTGAAGTCAGAATGAGATTAGAAGTCTAACAAGTTTGCCAAGAGGTCAAGGCCATTGGTCTCTGAGAGACCCAAACCCACTCAACGGTATTAAGTAGCCACAGCTTCAAACAGCTCTTTAATTTGCTCCATAGGTGAAACCCACCATGAATTTGAAACTGATGGGAAGAAATGTAATAGCAGCAGCACCCTCAGAGTCCACACATACAGCAAAAACTCAACGGCGGACTGCATCATCCGACATACAGGTCTACAAGGGAGAAAACTGGTAGCACCCTTCCGATTTGAAGATTTGGGTAAGAGGGATGAATGATTGTTTTTCATCATTTTTAATTTACCTTAATATTACACTATTGAACAAAATTAAATGCAATGGGAAAAGTCCTTCAGAGTGAGATCACAGTCAACAAAGGTCTTCTTAAGAGCAAATTCCTTTAATGACTGAAATTTCTCCAGTTGGGCATCAGAATGCAATTCTTCCAACAGTCAGAACCCAGTTGTATAGAAAGCTTAGCAGGGCACCATATGCAAATGGCATCATGCTTGCTTTTTGATGAGAACAGCTGACATAACTTGGCCTTAAATTCTTTTATTGCACTCATGATTTGGGAGAGGTCAATTGAAGCATACCCAAAAGGAGATCATATTCATTGAAATAATTCTAAACTTGTCCATATCATTTTATGCTAATATAAGATACTCACACAGTCAAACTGAGTCATGATTACTCTTTAGATTTATTTTGTTATAACTGTTCTGCAGATTTTAGTTCAATCATGTTAATATTCTGAGCAGAACAAATAATAAAAAATAAAACATCACATAGGAAATGAGGAGTTGCCTCTATTTTTCAAGAATGCGTCCTCTGATTCCTTCATCAAATGCAAAAAAATAATAGTGATTTCAAAACTCTAGAAAACTTTTTGAATCAAGAAGTATCTAGTAAGAAGTAGTATGAATCACAAGATTCAGACCTTCATTATTTGATAAGGTACCTCTCCGTGTCAAAAGAATTTCTGAAGTACAAGGATTCACTCACACTAGTGAAGGAGGAAGCTGTTGGATGAGGACACACTTGCTGAAAAAGCTCCTTAGGAAATGACTGCTGATGAAAGGTGAAGGGGAACACCATCATGGGAAAATTGCCTCACCGCCCCGTGGGGGCTGCTGCTGTGGCTAACAGGTCCCCTGTCACCACCACATGCTTTCCACCAGTCACTTTCTCATCAAACCAAAAGTAGCAACTCTTGAGCCCCTGCAGACAGGGTAGGGTACTGTAAATTGACGCAAACATTCCTACCTCCTCATGACTCCTCCCCCCTCCAGCCTCTGCTGTCAGTGGAGCACAGCGCATGCACGGGGGATGCTTCTGCAAGTCCTTCGGATTCCTAAATAAGAGAACCAACAATGTCGACAAAAATCTATGTTGACTTTTCAGCTATGGTTCGGGGCCACCTGCAAAAAATTGCTCAAGGGGAAAATCACAGTTTCTCCTCCATTACTGGCCATAGTTCTATACGACTCAAAATCATAATCATAAATGCTTCTAATAATAACGGGATAAGGCTTGACTTTTATTTGTGCTCTATCAATTATTTAGCACCAACTGCCAAATCTCCATCAAGTATTCAAAGAGTAACACCAGTATCCGCTGTTGGGGACTTCCATGTGTTTATGACTTTTTCCCCTTTGGCAAGCTTCTACATGAACATACAGATATTACAAACATTTTCTTCATCCAATGAGGTTTAAAAGGTTGATTAGCTGAGGATGCTTTAAAACACATTTACAAGGGAGCATCTGGGTGGCTCAGTCAGTCAAGCCTCCGACTTCAGCTCAGGTCATGATTGTGAGATCTGTGAGTTGGAGTCCTGCATCAGGCTCCATGCTGTCAGCTCAGAGCCTGGAGTCTGCTATGGATTCTGTATCTCTCTCTCTCCCTCTCTCTCTCTCTCTCTCTTCCCTTTCCCTGCTTTTACTCTGTCTCTGTCTCTCTCTCTCAAAAGTGAATAAACATTAAAAATATGTTAATAAAATAAGATAAAATAAAATAAATTTACAAGTAAGGATTTTGACCCCTTACATTCCCACACTGCATGGTAGGACCTGGGAAAATGAGGATCAGGCAAGCACCATATCTGGAGAGGGGGCAGGTCCTGGAAAGAGTAGTGTCTTCCATTGAAAAACCCCCATTGCTTGAAACATGGACCAAGGAGTCTAACACGTGCGCGAGTCAGGGGCTCACATGAAAAACCCACATTGCAATGCTTGGAGAAGGAAAACAGAACAAGGGTAGACAGACCATCTTCAAAATGATTTACTTCATTTTTTTAGTATTCCCTGTGAGGAATCTGAATTTCCTATGACTTATCTGGAGGTGGGATTAAAAAAAAAACTTGAGCAACAGTTCTCAAACATCTTGATTTTGGGCACCCTCTATACTCCTACAAATATTTGAGGACCCCAAAGAATTTTTACTTACTGTGAATTGTTATCTGTCAATATTTACGCATTAGAAATTAAAAATTTTAAATGTCCACTTATTTAAAAAATAATAATCCACTACATATACACAGAAATGACATACTTGTATAAAAAAATTACCATATTTTGCAACACCAAATTGTTAGCGAGGAAAATGGCATTATTTTTCATTTTGAAAAGCCTCTCTGGCATCTGGTTTAATAGAAAACAATTAGGTTCTCATAATTTCAGCATTCATTCTCTTGCAATATGTTGTTTTGCTTGAAATATATACAAAAATACAGCCTCACACAAATATGTAGTTGGGAAGGGAAGATGATATTAATAGACTATGTTTTCCGATAATTGTGGATATTCTTCTTTGATACTATACTAAAACTCAACAAGAGGTGACTTCATAAAGGTTAATTACTATATGGACTCTAGAAACACATCAATGAACTTTTCAAGCTCGTTACATTAAAATTCTTTGAACAAATTTGCACTTTGGATAAATCTTTTATCCAGGCACAATTTTGTAGCATCATGCCTTGGTCATTTGGAAAATATCAGTTATTGATTTATACGGGATTTTCAAATGTTGATGCATTTCAGTATCAAAACCCCATTCATTAATACCATCACTGATTTCATCGAAGTCTTCGCATTTGGAAGTTCTCAAGCCCACAGTGGTGGCTATGGGTTTTTCAAAACGGAAATGTGGCTGGTGCAACTAACTAAATTTTTAATATTAATTTTTATTAATTTAAACTTAAATAGTGTAGCTCATGTATGCTGTATGGGATAGCACAAGTCTATAATAGTCTAATCAACTAGGGAGAGAAATCATAATATACCAGTACCCATTTAATCAAAATTACATTCAGTCTAATTGAATCTGTTCACTAGCTTGTTGATTGGGAGACTAACTCAAAGGAAGTACAAACTCCTGTGTGTGTGTATCTCCTGTTTTATATAAATATATATATTTATCTGAATTCATGTAATACCATATGCATTATTCCAGAAGACCTTGATCGTTATTGATAATTTTTCTATGCGTCCCCAATATTTCCCATATGCTCTTCTGGTAATTTGCCTCCAGTATTCCTATCCTACTAGCTTTCAAGCTTTTTCTCTCCTTTCAGTGTCAGTAGCTCTCTTTTCAATTTTCTCTGGCATCTTTGGGGTCATAGAGTTCATTTTAGCCTTACAGTATAAATTGCTATTTCTCTGTCGTTTCCTTAGTGGCAGTTCTTCCTTTCCTCAGAGCTCTTGCATGCAACTCTGGCATTTTCATAGTTTCCAAGATGTTTTAAGGTTTGATTAAGAAAAGAAATGTTCAGATCCATGCAAAATTCTCTGATTGAATAAAAAGCTGAGAAGCACGGACAGATCCCATAAAGACATTACCTACCTGTCACATATCAATATTTATAAAATTTCAGTCACCTTTCCTATACACTCTCCAGTTGCAGGACTGTTCGCTGGTCAAATCTGTGCTTAGCTGAATGTCTGGAAACATCCCTAAACATTGTTTTATATTATATAGTAAGCATTATGCTTAATAAATAGCAAAGCGTTGGCTGAGCACGCTGTTATGAATGAACTCATTAATTCTCTCTCTGTCTGTCTCTCTCTCTCACACACACACATAAACCTCCAAAGGTAAATGCTTAGTGTTTCCATTTTACAGCTAAGAAAAAACTGAACATTCAAGAGATTAGGCACCTTGCTCAAACTCACGCAGCACAAGCAAGTCAACAACGCTGGAATTCAACCCAATCCGTGACTGACTCCCAGGCCACCTAAGTAATAAATAAGGAGGAAGATATGTGAATGGGTAGACAGACAGAGGGACAGGTAGGTAGATGGACAAAGAGAAAGGCAGTGAATGCCCTTAGCCTACTATTGCCAAACACACTACTCCAAGCCCAGCATGCTGTCCTTCTAAGTCAGGCAGCCGAGCAGATGGGCAGCCAGCAGGGTACAGATTCAAAAACCAGAGCAAGAGCTGCAGAATACATAGTGCTGAGGTTTCTGCAAAACCTCCATGGGCAGGTAGCAGCCAAACACATTCTCCAACCTACTGTACTGAGCGCAATGTGGGTAAAACTGCTCTCCGTAGTTGCAGAATTCTGTTTTTCCCCTTTTCTAGTTACTGATCCAGAGACTGCTTCAGACGCCCCGGAGAAAAGCTCTCCATCCTCTGCAGTCCCTCAGCAGCCCACTAGCACTGGTAAGTGTAACCCATTAAGACTTAAGGGGAAAAAAAATTATGCCTCCTTGGGAAGGTCACTTTTCCAATTCTCAATTTTAAGATTTTTTTTTTTCAATTTTTAGTAAGACTATCAGGACCCCTTCCACCAGCTCCAGCTTTGCGGTGGAGTGTCCTCTTAGCGGGATGGGCTTCAGGGTCATGAATGCCTTGTAAGTTCAGTGCCATGCTCCTTGATACACACACACACACACACACACACACATACACGCTAGTGACATGTGAATTTCCTCTACAGTAAAGGGCAAGGTTGAATTCATTTACGGAGAGACTCCTTCCTTTGTTTTCTCATCCAGAAGGCACCAAACACAAAATAAAGACTAGGTTTGCAGCAAAGGGCAAAGAAGCAGGATCTGGAGATTTGCTGTCTCTGGTCCCTGACAAACAAAATCAACTTTGAAAACACCTCAGTTACTTGGTTGTCAAGAACTTAGATCATTTTTGATGACAGGGTTGAACTATAAATGCAGAAGTTTAAAAGCCTGGATTATAATTCCAATTTTTTAGGCAGTGAACCTACTGGATGGTTAACTCTGGGCAATGATCATATATTTATCTTTGTATTTTACCTGGTGCATAATATCTGGCACTAGCAGGTACTCAGAAAATGCAGTATGAATGAATAAATACATGTACGAATACATTCATTTGTTATGGTGTTTTGAGCAAGACAGTTTCATCCAGAAAGGGAATAAATTCCTATATATCCTCTTCCTGTTTCAAATACTGTGCCTTGAATAATTTCATTTGGTGGGATAAGTGCTTTCATGTCATTATCATGTATGTTCATCATTCTGAGTATCAGGTTGAATTTTTAAAGAATTTTATCTGGAATAATATTTAAAAAGCCAATGTGTGGGGGGTTTCAAACACCGATAAAAACAATATGTGCCATACAGGTTTGCAAAGGACAATGAGAATTGAAAATAACCTGAAGTGGAATAGTCACACCACTTGCTTTCATAATCCAATATTTTTAAACGTGTTTAGAATCAATTTGTCTTTCAATTGGCTTACAGCGCTACTAAACAACTCAATTTTCTGCTCTGCTTTTTCAGATATAACGTAAGATTTAATATGGTTTCTAAACTTCCTTTCAGCTTTCAATTCCTATGATCATATTACGGTTAATAATACCCATTTTCAGTAGAATGGGTAGTTTCATTCCCCGTGGGATCCACACAGTGGCGCTGTACTGTGGGCTAAAAAAGCAAGAGGCTAGGTGCGGGGGTGGAGTGGGGGCGGGGGCGGCAAAGGCGGAGAGGCGGGAATACGGAGGGTGAGCAACAAAATCAGAAAAAGGGATCCTGTATCTTTTGACTTCTCTCACCTAGCAAAAACATCACATCCCGCTTCTAAGCGGGAGAGGCCAGCATGGGTTTGAACGACAAGGGAGCCTATTCAACATAAAAATCATTGCTTTTCAGGCTGTTAGGTTGTCTTTCCTTAAAGCTTGGGATGTCATCCATCGGTGTTCTCTTGTTATCTTGTACCTTTCTAAAGTCCTGCTTACTAACAAGCCTGGTTCGGGAGGGAAGTATACAATAATGATTTAAATTTTGCATTCTGAAATTCAGGATTGCATTCTGAATTTCTGTCACTTCTTTGCTGCATGACTTGAGACAATTTCCTTAACTTCTCTGAGCCTCTGTTCAGAGCTGCAGTGAGAAACAGACCAGATGCTCCGATTCCAGCTTAGCGCACACTTAGCATTCAGGAAACATTGATCTTTAAAAAAATAAGGCAACATGAGCCTGGCCCTTTGCAACTATTATTGGAAGAAGTCAGTAGTTAGATACGGTCTTGGTTTTTGTTTGTTTGGTTGGTTGTTTGGCTTGGTTTTTAAGTTGGACCACTTAATTTTGTTCTCAAAGATGCTTTGCTGTTTGGGGGTTACTATGTATATATATGTAGATATGTATCCATATATAATCATAGTCATATGTATATATCATGTCTTAATTTCTTTCGACTTAGTTGCAGTGGTGGAAGGTTCTAATACCACAGAGATTGACAAGGAAGAGAAAGACCAAACCACTCAAGATCCTGACTTGACCACTGGTAAGTGTCCCCCCACAGCATTTAGGATAAACACTTGATATTTTAACCTCTGAGCCAATAAATCCAATGGCCTTTTTCTGTCCCTATTTTTCTTAATCTTTTTATTTGTTAATCACTCCCTTGTTCCTTGACTTAGTGCCTCCCTGGTTTCCTCAACATACTCTGCCTGGTCCTGTCACTCTTTGCTAATCTGTCTTTCTCTGTGTCCATTAGCTAACTTCCTTTCCTCCTCTGGCTTCTTATATGTGGATATAGTTCTGACTTTACTTCTCCATCCTTGATTCTTCCCTTAATCCTTAAAGGGTTTATCCATCCCCAAAATTGTTCCTATTGGCACTAGGCAGAAGATTTCCCTATCTTTCCAGAACATTCTCTTGAGAATGAATCCCTATTTCATTTCATCTCCTATGTATCTGTTGATAGATTTTCTCCCATCTCCTGAAACTCAACATCACTAAAAACTGAACACCGTCTTTTCCCATAAAATCATCTTGTCCAGACCATCACACAAGCCCCAAACTTTGGTGTCATCCTTGACTCCTGGGTTGTGGACACACACAAACACATATAAAATCAGTCCGTCTCCAAGAACTTCTGAGTCTTCCCTTCCAGAATTTTTTCTCCTATCACTGTCACCTCCCTGGTCCAGACTCTCCTCATCTCCTGCACAAAGTCCTGTAACTCACTGGAGCTGTGGTCCTTTTTAGGACTCTATTATCAAAACACCCCTCTGCATTCTTCACACCTGTGTTTGGAAGGCCCCCCGGCTCCACTGTCTATGATGCGAAGAGGAGCCTCATACCTCCCATAACGCGCACTCCACCATTCCCCTCTGCAGGCCTGACTCTAAAGTCCCGATAAGAACACACATTTTTCTCTGAAAACATCATCCCATTTTGATTGCCCTGCCCTCACTGACCTGAATGGCCCCTGAAGAAAGGAAAGGGCTCATCTTCCCTCTCCTTACCCTTCCTTCAACGCCAAAGTCTTCTCTGACAACTTTCCTGACCAACTCAAGGACCACTCTGTCTCTGAATTCCTGAACCCCTTACGATGTTAACACACATGGACCCAGAATTGGGGATAGATATCTGACTTCTGTTTTATTAATTTGTTTCTATAGAGAGAGAACTATGCCCTAAAGCACAAAGATTGTGTCTAATGAGCTCCAAGCAGCTCTACACCTAGCCAATGCTCCCTAATTGCTTGTTGGTTAGGAAGGGGCAGGACATTTGGGCAAAACTAGAGCCCACAGAATCAGAAGGTGAGGTTTAAAAAGATCTTAAAGACCTCACCTCATTTATTTCTGAATGCCTTCCTGGAGGACCACTGTTACCCAAGCCAACATTCATGAATTTTCATTTTATTTGCATAGCTTTTCAAACTCTTTAAGAGCCTCTCTTGCTGCTTAACTACACTTTGCTTAAAAAAAAAAAAAATCATTCCTTACAGCTCACTACATCCCCTGACTATAACTGAAGTCAGTATTCTTGCATGTGTTCTCTAGAAATGAAAAATCACAGCTTCGCTATCTATGCAACGTATGAGCATTTTTCAAATCACCTCACAGAATTGCTTTGTTTGTATACCTATTGGCTTGTTTTTGGAGAATAAATAATATCGCTTTCCCTTCAGGGTAAAGTTCTCTTTTTATCTGAGTTGCCTATCAGCCTATAGACATTTGGGAAGTATCCTGCAAATTCCTCAGTGACAAAAACAAACCAACCTTGAGCCTGATTCCTTTCATTGTCCTTATAGAAGCAAATCTTCAGTATGTGGGGGTGATAAGGAGGAAAAATGGCATTCTGCTGCTCACCCTTGTGTCCTTCCTCATCTTCATACTCTTCATCATCGTCCAGCTCTTCATAATGAAGCTTCGGAAAGCACATGTGGTATGGAAAAAAGGTGAGGGGCAGGGGACCTGATGGGGGGCGCAGGGCGGGGGGGTACAAGATGCTGAAACAACTGGCTAGACAAAAGGAAATTCTGCCAACTTAAAGCTTTTCTGTTAGATGCTTCACAATCTGTTTGGTAAGTGTTGTCATGCAAATCAGCCCTTGTTTTGTAGTAAACACAGGATGTGAATCTTCAGGGGCTCTAATCAAAGAGTGTATAACCAAGACAAATTAGAGTAGCTCCAGGAATTGACATTACATTATAAAAGCTTCTGTTCACAAAAGGATACCAAGTGGAAAACTCATTCATTCCTTCAAAAATCATTCACTGAGTACCTATTATGTGCCAGGCACAGTTCCAGGTACTGGGGATACCTCTGTCAACAAGAAACACCAGGTCCCTTCTCACAAGTTCATTTTCTAGGGATGGTCAATCAGAGATTGAATATATACTGTTTTGGCTGTGTTCTTATTTGTGTTGTTTATTTGAGAGAGAGAGAGAGAGCGTGCACGCGCGTAGACACACACGCACACAAGTGGGGGAGGGGCAGAGAGAGAGAGGGAGACACAGAATCTGAAGTAAGCTCCAGGCTCCCAGCTTGTCAGCACAGAGCCTGACGCAGTCCTTGAACCCACGAACCATGAGATCATGGCCTGAGCCGAAGTCAGATGCTTAACTGACTGAGCCACTCAGGTGCCCCAGTTGTGTTCTTACTTTTTAATAATGCAGTCAGCCTCCCTCAAGCATTATATGTTAGTAATTTTTCCTAAACATTCTGATTTAAAAGTTATCAATGGAATAAAATATATACATATATAATACTATACTATTGTTGTATATATAATTCAGCTAGCATGGAAGATACCTATTAAGATGCATAGATTCAACACATACCGGGGCTGGAAGGGACCTTAGAAGTTATCCAGAATAACTATCTACTCAATTCCTTCTATAAATGTGTACCAAGATGAAATCCCCTCTTTAATTCTGAGTGATTATTTAGACCTGTGTTACCCAACAGAATAGACACAACATGGTTATTGAGCACTTGAAATGCTGCCAGTTGCTTTTGAGATGTGCTGGATGGGTAAAATATATACTCAACTTAGAAAACTCAACAGAGAGGCACCTGGGTGGCTCAGTGGTTTAAGCATCCAACTTCAGCTCAGGTCATGATCTTGCAGTTTGTGAGTTTGAGCTCTGCATCCAGCTCTCTGCTGACAGCCCAGAGCCTGGAGCCTGCTTTGGATTCTATGTCTCCCTCTCTCTCTACCCCTTGCTTGCTCACACTCTATCTCTCTTCCTTTCAAAAATAAATAAACATTAAAAAACAGTTTTAAAAAAAGAAAACACACACGACGCACACAAATATGTCTAATAATAATATATCAGATCTACTAGGTAAATATAAATTATTAATAATTATTAATTTTACCTGCTTCTTTTTGCTTTTTCAGCATGGCCACTATAAATTTATAAAATTACATGTGTGATTTGCATTATGATGTTGCTTGCTCGTGTTCATTTAGCTACATTTGGCTCTAACATCTCCAGTAGCAGAGAACTCATTACATCCCAGGGCAAGAGGGTGAATGGCTCTCACCCTCTTAAAAGTACAACTTCTCCTGGTTTGAGGTCACTCTCTCTATATATTCAGCTGGACCAACATTCATTGTAATTAGACCTAGAGACAAAGTCTGGGTTTTCAGCTGGACCTGAGCAATAGGCATGTGCCATCATATGGTTGCAAACTCTCCCGTTAATGCTTCACCACTCCCACCCCAAGTTCTTTAAGGCCTCCTGGAATTGTTCCATCTCAAAGGATAATGCTTGATTCTAATCTGTGGTCATTTGATCTCTGCATCTCTTACACTGCCTAGCACAGTGCCTGCAGGAATCCTAGCAAAGAACGAAAACAATTCTCTAAATGAATGAGGGCATGATATATGGGAGGGGACATGGCAAGGCCACTATCATGTAGATAAAAAGACCATCTTCTTCAAACATACATTTCTACGTACAGGTGACGTCTGTGGCACCAGAAACGAATAACATGGTTTTCTTTTGTTGCAGAAAATGAAATTTCAGAACACACTCTAGAAAGTTACAAATCGAGGTCAAATAATGAAGAAACATCATCCCAAGAGAAAAATGGCCAAAGTAAGTCAACTATATGACCTAGGATTTGAAAAATGAGCTTCATTAATGTGTTGTCTTTAAGGAGGTGGGTAAAAATCCAAGTCTGATTTTTAGAAAGTCACCTAAATCATCTTGTAGAAGAGAAGTGCATCTTCAAACACTGAAAAGTAGTGACCATTAAGTTCCTTTGGGAAGCCATCTCTGAGTCCTGACTGTCAGACCCAGCCACACCCCTGGGGTGTAAGTCCCTCTTGTGCTGCAGGGTAGTTCACATACACCTTAACAATCCAGCGCTTCCCACACCATCTGGTCATTTTTGGTCTGTTGATTTAGCTACCATGGTCCTCCAGGTGGTGAGTAGCTGGGTTTATCTCAGCATGTCCTAAGATTCTAACATGCGGCCTGATGCAAATGGACTGTTTGATAAATTTGTATTGAATAAATGAACACAAGGCTTAACTGATTCAAGCAGAAATGTTTGGGGTCTTCTTCTGGAGGACTTCATTGCAGTTTCTCAAGCAAAATGTGTTTCAAAAGTGAAAGGAAGAGTCTAAAAGGAGATTGTGTGTGTGTGTGTGTGTGTGTGCATGCGTGTGCGTGTGCATGTGTTCTTAACAAAAATCCAGTAGACAGCAACCAGCCCTACAGTAAAGAATCTTATACCTTCCAACCATTTTGTCTCCTCCATGCAAATTAACTTGCTCCACCTGCCAAGAGTTGTAAGACAGGCAGAAGAGCTTTGCTCTAGTTTCTACTGGTTTTATTGAGGTTTTTGTAGGAAGCTGGTCTTTCACAACACCTCTGCCTTTTTTTGCTTTGACCCAGGAGGGTGTGAAGTGGAAAGAATCACTTACTAGCTGGGAGAGGGGAACAAGAGGGCAGACTGAGAACTGGGGGCGGGAGGGGGAGGCATGTGCAAGGTGCAGACAGTCTGTTGTATTGTGTGTGTTTCTCTAACATCAGTGTCTGTCTACTCGACTGGCAGGTAGGAGGATGATGTTGGTATGATGTGGTAGTTGGATTGTGTCCTATGCCAACTTTCCTAAGTGAGGGGAACCAGAAGAATGGGTGTCGAATTGTAACTTTTAGCAGGAAAAGAAAAGCCCTGGGCTCAGCTGCTGAACAAGCAGAAAGCCTTTGCGTCTCAACTTTAAGAAAGTATAAACTGTGTACTTTCATTCAGAGCTCCCTCCCCCAGAAAGGTCCATCCACAGGGGCTTGTCACAAAGGTGGGAGGTAGTACTTTCTCCTGGGCTCCAACCTCCACTTCCATCCTCCTTCCCTTGGCTCCTTCAAACCCAGCATTTCAACCTCGCTGTTTTTACTCACCTAAAAGGCATCCTCTGGAGCCATCTCCAGCCTCTGTGTATGGTTAAGGGGCTCTCAGTGGTCTGCCTCAAACCTACATTTCCCAGAAGCCCTGTTACTTTCAGTATAAAATTTACTAAATGCAATGTGGGTTTTTTGTTTCAGGTTTTTATAGCAGAAATGTCTATATATTGGGTTTGTTAGTATACTGTTTAGGTAAGAGGGCTTTTTAAAAATCAGACTACAACAATGCATTTAGACTGTTTATAGGAGAGGCATCAGTCAATTTCAGATCTGATTTTTAAGACATTAACACACGGACCTAAAAAGACCACATGCAGTCAAGGTGTCTCAACCAAATGGGGGCGATGCTGTTCAAAACGAATTTTCATCTTTGGCCTGTTTTTCTTTCAGCTTTCCACTCTAAGAGATACGTAAACTACATCACACAGTTGTACACTGAAGCGAAAACAAAGAAAAAGGAAGACGAACGGAGTTCGAAATTGAAAGGAGAGCCCTCTCATATACCAGAGAGCATTGTGTAATGTTCTCTGCAGGAGAAAATACTGATTTCAGGGCAGCCACACCCTCACAGTGGAGCAGCCTATGGGAAGGAGCATAATTACTGTCACAAGAAAAATATACTTTGAGTGCAATGCAGCATGGTAGCCTCCCGTCGCACGTTGCCCTGGATTCAGGGCTGTGAAATGAGGACCAGTCCATGGACACAAAGCTTCATAGTTCAAATTAAAGAAAAGAGAAAAGAAAAGAAAGGAAAAGAAAAGAAAAGAAAAATAACCTATTATGCCTGACACTACTTCAGAGAAGGAAGAGGCTCCTAAACTTTGGAGATCAAGGTTGACTTGGCCAGCCAGCATCTTACCATGAAGGGAAGAGGACTTTTTAGATGCTGGGCTCTAGCAGTACTACTTACAAAAAAAATTTTTTTTAATCTTTCCCTCTGACCTCCAAATAAAACTTTGGGATGAAAAGGACCTAAAGAAGATCTCTAATCCTAGAAGCTTACTTTCAAGGACTTTAAGAAGATGTAACCAGTACATACAGTATCTGGGAGAATGTGAATGGGCATTGACTGGTGAGCACAGATGGGTTCATGCCTCAAAACACAAGCTTTAGTTCAAGGTAGGCCCAAAGATTCGATTTTCTAAGGTTTTCTTGCTAAATCACAAGGGCTGATCTGGCAAAGTTTTCACCAGGACACTTCATTACAAAAACATGTATAAAAGAAAACAATGAGTTTAACTTACTATGACCTAATTAATGCTTTACAAAAAGTATTTAATAAAAAGCTGAATACAGGTGTTTCTAGTGGTTGTAGTGCAAGTTGTACTTCCTCCTTTTATTTTAACATGTGAAAGGGACATGTCTTCCCGCCCTCCCCTCCCCCATCAGTTTAAGATACAGCAAACTCACATTCACTTACGACATTTTGCATATTTGGACCTGAATAGATTAATTCTAAAATAATATCCCCCCGCCCTATCACACACACTCATATTATGAGTTTGCAATTTGTTACAGATGTGATTTTTTTTCTTGATAAAAAAAGAAAAATGAAGTAATCTGTACACCCAATGTGGGGCTCAAATGCTCTACCAACTGAACCATACAGGAGCCCTGAAAAAAATTTTTTTAATAATCATAAAATTACTGAAAGGTGTAAAAATAAAACAGAGCATTTTTCTTTCTGAACCATTTGAGAGAGTCTGTTGACCTGCTGCCTGCCACCTCCCCCCGCCCCCCAACACTTTACCACAAGGTAACTGATAAAATCAGGAAATTAACACTGATAGATTTCTACTAACAATCTTCAGGCTCAAGTCTTTCCAATTGTCTAGAGGATCTAGAGGATCCAGTGGAGAATCACTTGTTTCATTTTGGTCTCATTCAAGTTTGGAACAGTTCCTCAATCTTTCCTACACATTTGTGACTTTTGGGATATTTCTGAAGATTGCGGGCTATTTTCTAAATTGTCCCTCAGCTGGCCTTTGTCTGATTGTTTCTTCATGATTAGATCCAGGTTATAAAATTTTGCGAGGACTGTCACAGAAGTGAGGTTTTATCTCTCTGCATTTTATTCACCCCTGTATTGATCATGTTTACTTTGATCACTTGATTAAGGTGGTGTCTGCCAAACCTCCCCACTGCAAAGTTACTCTTTCCTCCCTTGTGAACTAATATTTGGTGCAGAGATGCTTTAAAAACATGTAGATAACCTATTCCTCATTCACTTCCAAGGTGCTCATTTATTTATATCTGTATGGACTCGAGGTTTCCTGAAAGAGTTACACTCTGTTACTATCCCGTCTCATTCATTGGGTTACAATGTTACCATCAAATTAATCCCTTGCTAACTGGGTGATCAGACTGTGAAACAGGCTTTTATGTGCTTCTTATCCTCAACATTTGAGCACTTTCTTCCTTTCTGATACAAAATATTCCATGCTCATCTTAAACTTTTCCTGCCTCAGCCCCGTAATGAGCCATTTCTCCAAGGATCCCTGGTTCTTTTCAGTGAAAAGTGGTATCTAGAAGCCAAAACGCTGGGGCTAGGTGTACTCATTTTTGGGGTGTTATTGTTCTCAAATCGTCTCAGTAGACAGAGCTAGGAAATATATGAGAAAGTATGCACATAGTTGACCCTGAAACAACATAGATTTGAACTTCCCAGATTCACTTAGACACAGTTTCGGTTTTAAAGAGTTGACATCAAAAGCCTAAGGGCATTTATTTACAACTGCCCACTCCAGTCTCCAAGACCAAATTGAAGACAACTGGTGTAAAGGTCACATCTGCTGCCCCGTGACAACCCTGGGAGACCCACAGAAGCCATGAGCAACCCCCAGAAACCCCAACCGCTCCCTTCAGGTCCTCCATGATCTGGATTCCCTCTTGGTGCTAGAGTGGCTAGGACTGTTTCTATTGCTCTAGTGCCTTTTATGCAAGAGGCCGGACTGAGGGGCCAACATTACAGCACCATGCAAAGCAGAAGTAAGCAGTCTTAGCCAATTATCAGAATCACCTCAGAGGATTCCAGAAGACAGGGACTTCCAGGTTTGTCCTCAAAGATTGGTCTCAGCAATCCCAAAGACAAAGCTTTGGGATTTGCACGCTTTTAAAATTCCCTGAGTGATTCCAGTAGGTGAGGGTGCCCTGTTGTGGCATAAATCAGAATTTTCCAAAACATAGCTAAAGAAGATATACTATCATTAAAGCTGAATTAGGAATATTTTAAATACTATATTCTGGAAGCAGAGGGACTTTGTGAGTCTTCTAGTCCTACCTGGGACTAGAAGGGGTATACAACAATACCCCTGCACAAAAGCCAAACACATTCTGTGGACAAAGAGCATCCAATCTGTACAGTGCCTAGCTCAAGGGAAGTTTCTCAATGGAGATTTGGCAAATAGCAGAGGGAAGACAGGAAAATGAAAGATTTCTGGGCTCAAATAAGTTTGAAAAATGCTGAACATGGGGCGCTGGGGTGGCTCAGTTGATTAAGCATCCAACTCTTGCGGGCACCTGGGTGGCTCAATCAGTTAAGCATCCAACTTCAGCTCAGGTCATGAACTCACAGTTCATGGGTTCGAGCCCCACATCAGGCTCTGCGTTGACAGCTCAGCGCCTGGAGCCTGCTTCAGATTCTGTGTCTCCCTCTCTCTCTCTGCCCTTCCCCCACTCACATTCTTTCTCTCTGTGTCTCTCAAAAATGAATAAACATTAAGAAAAAAAATTTTTTTAAAGGCATCCAACTCTTGGTTTCAGCTCAGGTCATGATCTCAAAGCTTGTTAGTTCGAGCCCCACGTTGGGCTCTGCGTTGACAGTGTGACACCTGCTTGGAATCCTCTCTCTCTCCCTCTCCCTCTCTGCCCCTCCCCTGCTCACACACATGTGCGCATGTGTTCTTTCTCTCAAAAAAAAAACTTTTAAAAAATGCTGAATGCTATTTCCCCCATAGAGGTGATACCTATTAGCATAGCAAAGGCTCTGACAAGCCTTCTCAGGAAGCAATCTCTTAAGCTTTATTGAACCCAGCAAAGCTCAAACTTAACCATCTAGAGCAATTCATGATGGTTGCCTACTGAGTGACTTTTTGCCAAAGTCTTCCTCTTTACCAATGTCTGTGATCTTATCCCAGTATCCACCCCACATTATGTGAGTAGGTGAAACTCATCCCCAGGCAAAAAGAGAAATTATGATTGGTCTGAACCAGTCACGGTCCCATTCCCTTTCTTGGTGGTCAGTTTGTACTTGGATACATAAAACAATGCTGGCCACTGGGACATATCTGGAAGCACCTAGCAGGCTTCTGGGAAAGCTGTTTCTTAATGATAAAAAGACATACTCAGAATGAAAGCATCTTCTTTCCCCCCAAATGTCTTAACTGTGAGTGATGCGTGGAATGGCTACAGCCATTGTGAGCCCATCAAGGAAGCTGAGCCGATGTGGTGAGGAAGCCAGAGAAAAGAAACAAATTGACATGGGCTCTTTGATGATTTTGATTAGCTGCTAAATATTTAAGAACTTCTCATTGAGTGAGATAAAGAGCCCCATGCTATTATGTAAGCCAGGTGAACTGGATTTTAAATTACTCTCAGCCCAAAATGGAGCATCTTTTGAATGACAAAACAGTTATTTCATGAAACATTAGTGTAACTAACCCAAATTGGGAAACACTGAGATAGAGCAGTTCTTTTATGTGACAGATGAGGAAACTGAGGCCCAGAAAGCTTTCCTCAGTCACCAAAGATCACACAACTGCTTAATAAGACAGCTGGGATTAGAATCTTGATATCCTGGCTCCCTCTTTCTCTGCTTACATGTAACTTAAATGACGAAGACAGCATTTCGTGCTCCCATCTTCTTGCTCACTGGGAGATGGAGCTAAAGAACAATTGAGAAATTTCCATTTAATGCTCCTTTTTCATCTTACTTTTGGGGAGCTAAGTCAAAAGGATGCTTTTATTACTTTCTCAAAAATGACTCAAAAAAAAAAAACAAAAAACCCAACAACACCAACTCAAACCAAATTTTCTGGCTCCAAGCATCATTTGCAGCATCATTAGGTGAACCTAACAGAGAGCAAAATTATACTACCCAACATTCTGAGCACACATCAAGTAGTGAGGCTCCCTGCAGATGAAAAAGGTGGTTTGAACTGCCAATCATTCACGAGTCCACTAATTTAACTTAACAACATAATCTCTTGTTACTTCCTCTGGCTGGGCTGAGGTCATGGTAATTTGCTATATTTATAATGGGGTTTTGATCTAGATGAGATGTAGTTCTACTTTTACAATGTTACACCTTCTAAAAGAGAGCCCTTTTCCTTCCTGTGATGCATTCATGAGGAAATCTGTCATCACAGATCATTACTCTAGACCTGGTGCATATGTTAATTTTTTTCCTACCTTTTCTGCTCTGCGTCTGATTTTTAGATGGAGGCAAACCAGAAGTAAGGCAGCAAAAACATATTTTTCCCAAATGTCTCACAGTTTATCTAAAAAGGCGGGAAGAGAGATCTTGCCTGACTGTAGAGAGATTTAACTTTGTGAGACTACCCTGTATAGGCATTAAAAAAAAAAAAAGAAAGAAAGAAAAAGAAAATTCTGCCAGGTCTTCTGCAATCCCATGAAACAATGGGTCACAATTTTTAATTAACATGGAACATCTCTTTTGAATTAGGTCCTAGCTTGTGAAATAAAAATGGTATCTCTTTAGAAAAATACTGAACTCTGTGATTTCCAATGTGGTTTGAGGAAGACTAA